CCTAAAAATGATCATTTCAGTCTACTTTGTCTTTGTTGTTAATATTTGTCTGATTTCTGTTCGTTAACGATCGAATTTCTGGACCATGACTACGAGCACTACAGTAGGTAGCGCATCAGTTATATTGGTTTCACTGCCTTTAATAAGGACCCTCGTATAATCCTCTTAATTTTATTCCATGTGATGAAGTTTTCTTATAGTTTTACGTTTTGCATAAAAAGTGGGTCTGGTAACTAGGAATGTTTTGGTTATATACCTGAAAGAATACACACTAAAATGTTACTTATCGCATTTAACTCAAGTTGAAACGGTGTGCAAAGTCTTATCGCCTGAATTTCTCCACAGGTGGGACTAGAAAGATTGGCTGCAGTGGTACTGATTGACGCACCGGAAGAAAAATGTCTTCAACGACTGATGAACGCTGACCAAACGAATGATCCTGTAGACATGATCCAGTCTGCAAGCGTAATTAGGCGAAGACTGTGCAATTTCAAGAACCTGACGCTTCCAATGTGCAAGACGATTGACGATGATAACAAACTTAGAGTTGTAAGTGCTTATAAAGGGCATCTTTTTATTCTTTGCTATTGGTCTTTTCGTTATAAGGTGTTACATTTTCTCTTCTGTGCTAAAGATTACTTCTAAATTTCTTCAATTTTTTAAATGTTTTATCTTTAAGAAATACTGGAAATTTATTCAGAATTAATGACTTGAGAAATCATTCTAATCTTTACTTAATTCTGCCACTTTCAAATTTCTGGAATATTTTTCCTTTAGTCAGACGAATGAGGGAAATAGCATATTTTCTTTGCTTCCAAAAAATAATATTTTCAATTTCCACCCAATTTACATCTGCCCTTTTCGCTTTTAAATTTTCTAAAATAGATCGATGGAGACATGAAAGACGACCACATTGCGAGGGAAATGTTAACGATCTTTGAATTTGTATTGTCTGGAAAAGTGACAGGTGAGTTAGGCATTTGGTTAGAACCTGCACTTTCTTTCTAAGAACATTCCGACTCGCAGACATGAGCGCATAAGCACGAAAAATGGTTTCACGGACAGTCCCTGCAACATAATTCCAATGTCCAAAATTAGATTTTTCTATAAGTATTTCCGGCCATCATAGGTTTCGGCTTGCTTGCTTGCTAGTTAAGGCGTTTGCATCAGAAGTTTTAAGATTCAGTACTTCACAATTGTGCTTTTTACTTGATACTTCAAGCGCTCGTTCTTTCTTAAGACTCTATCTCCCTTATCACATATAAATAACTGCGAGAAATAATTATTTGGGGTTGGAGCTACAAAATATGCAAATATAATTTAGAAACCTAATGTGCAACTGTTTGACATAAAGATGACAATGTAATTTTAGTAACACCGGTTAGAAATCACCACACTTCACTGACTGCTACAACATTTATGAAGGCAGCTAATAGCCATTATTTAAAATCGATTTATAATTGCTTGGAGCATATTAACTAGTCCATAACTTCGTATATCTTTCACGATTTCTGCGAGAATTCCTAAGCATGTAATTTTTACAATCGAACTTGTAGTCTAAAAACCCTGCAGATATTAGTCTGCCAATTTCTGAACTCTTGGAAACAGTGTTTTGTCGTCAAAATTCTGTGAATTGTAACTTTCGCATTTAAGGCCCAGCAACACGGCCTGAACCCGGAACCATTCCAGACGCGCCTGTGAATAGGACCATGGAGAAGATTGTCGGCTGTGTGGGCAATCCAAGGGCCTTTGATATTGCACGCATCACTCCCGAATTCAAAGACTGTGGAAGACGTCCCCATCTTCCAAAATGCCCAATTCTGGTCTTGCTTGGTAAGCGAGTAGTAGTTTGCCTTTACGCAAAACTTCAGTGTTGGTCCACGATTTCTACAACTAATTAAACTTCTTTTTGCTGCCTGCTCGCACACAGGTGTCTTATCATAATTCTTAATAAGCTCAATTATTTGTTCTCCTCACACTTATCACTGAAGATATTTTTCAAAGATTTGAAATAAAGGTCCACATTGTGATCAAAATTAAATTCTGGGTTTGCAGGCCTTAAGAACACAAGTTTTTAACATCGGCAAGTACGCAGTAGGTGTTTAACCTGGAAGCACTTATGCATCCTCGCATAACATTTACCTGTGTTTGCTGGGTACATGTCAACAAATGGAAAATAGAGATAAATTGTCACTTGATCTTATGAATTTCTCCGGAGTTGACTACAGAATATTTCCTTCCTTGATTTACTTTCTTTCTAAGGAGGTCTTTTGTCCAGCAATAGAATTTCTACCTTCAGACCTAATAACCACAAATCTGTCCCCTTTCTAGACTTTAATAAGAAGCTTTGCTATCTTGTACTTAATGTCTACATTGACCTGCGCATTGACTTGCGCGTTATGTATGTAATACCTTAAAAGTCATTACTCATTCTATTAAATGCGTCAAGGTGGTCCCGGTTCTGGTCGAACGAAACAGGCTTTAGCCTTGTGCAGTATGATTCCGGGCGTGAAACACTTCAATATCACTGATCTGCTTCGCACCAAGGTCCTCGACTCCCTCGTTGGTGGAGCTCAAAAGGACTGGGACGTTGTTGCTAAACGTGTTCATAGCAGTGAACCGCCTCTGGAATACGTGAGTTTTTGGTCCAAATGTATCGTTTAAATGAGTTTAGTTAGGTGTGATAAGTCAATCAATTGTGTTTAGGACTTGCGTTGGTCAGTAAAAGAGTTATCTTAACAAGAAGATGAAATAGCCGTACATTCAGTAA